AAGCATTTAGCGACTATCGGGGTGAGGGCCACTGGCCGATAGTCATTCAGACCAGTCACTGTAGAGCTTTTTGGGACTGGGATGATGGTGGCAGTCTTCAGGCAGGTGGGAACTGTCTCCAGGGTAAGTGAGGTGTTAAAGATGTCTGCCAGCACCTCACAGAGCTGATCAGCACATTCCTTCAACACTTTTCCGGGGATGTTGTCTGGGCCAGTTGCTTTGTGCGGATCAATCCTCCTGAAGGTACTCCTTACTTCTGCTGAGGTCACGCTGAGATGCTCTTCATCCGGTGGTGAGGTGAGTCTGGTGCTGGGTGGTCTGTTCGGGTCTTCAAAGCGTGCATAGAACTTGTTGAGGGCATCAGGCAGAGATGGGTCTTTGGGGCATTGTTCGCTCCTTCCTTTATAATCTGTTATGCACTTAATGCCCCTCCACATGCTCCCAGGGTCTTGTGAGATGAATTGACCCTCGATCCTCTTTGCATATGTGGCCTTGGCCCTCTTAATACCAGCAACCAGCTCTTTTCTTGTCCTACTCAGCTCCTCTGAGTTTCCAGACCTGAAGGCAGTGTTCCTGGCTTCCAGCAGGGTACGCACCTCTGCATTCAGCCAAGGTTTTCTGTTTGGGTAGCTTTTAACATTTCTGATAGTGGAGACTGTGTCAGTACATGTACTAATGTAACCCAGAACTGAGGATGTGTATTGGTCAAGATCAAGCGATCCTCCATTTTCAGCAGCTTCTCTGAAAACCTGCCAGTCTGTTCGGTCAAAACAATCTCTCAGTATGGGGTCACTGTCCTGGATCCAGCATTTAACTTTCTTTTGTACCAGTCTGGAGCGTCTCAGCGGGAGCATGTAAGCAGGAGCCAGGAAGATTGAGATGTGGTCTGACAGTCCTAGGTGGGGGCGGGGTGCGGCTTTGTATGCATCTTTTACGTTCATGTAAACACGGTCCAGCATCTTGTCTCCACGTGTTGGAATCGCCACATGTTGATTAAAGCTTGGGAGACAGTCCTTTAGATTCACGTGGTTAAAGTCTCTGGCTACAACGTAAAGAGACGCTACAAGAGATCCTTCCTGTCCACAGCCATCAGCAACTCTAATGAAACCAGGATGATGAGTTACAACAACATTTAATTTACCTCTGGGATTAATAAAGTATTTTTGAATTGACCTGAATTGAATAACAATGAAAATTTATCCCATGCTGTTTAATAATTTTACCTAATGGAAGCATATACAAGGTAAAGCGTATTCGTCCAAGCACTGAGCCCTGCGGAACTCCATGACTAACTTTGGTGTATGAAGAAGATTCATTATTTACATCTACAGACTGGAATCTATCAGACAGATATGATTTAAACCATTTTAGAGCTGTTCCTGTAATCCCAACATCATATTCAAGTCTCTGTAGTAAAATATTGTGATGAACTTCTGAGTCAAAGTTTAACATTAAAACAAAATAAAATTAAGTCATGAGCTACAGACTCCTCCTGCTTCTGCCTCGACAACATTAATAATTCCTGAATAAAATGGATTTTACTCCTGCTTCATATTTAAATCCTTCAGCACGAATCAGAACAGAACCGGAGTCCATCAGCTCCAGAACCTTCTTCAGCAACAAGAAACAAACCTGCAGAGCTCTGACGCAATCTGACATTTCTGTCGCTTCCAGTTCCACAGGTTTACCTGCACAAACGTGCGTGTGTACGTGCATGTGTACGTGCATGCGTGTTTTGGGGGTAATCTGTCAGAAGCAGGCCTTTAGTTTGGGTTCACTTGAACTTATTTGTATTTACAGTATTTAAAAACGTCCTTCCTGTATCACCAAGAGTTCTGACTCACCCATCCCGTGCCACAGAACCAGCGGGACAGTTCTGTTGGCGGAGCCACGAACTGGGTCGGAGGAGACCAGCAGGACTGGAGCAGCCAGGAGGAGACCCAGGAGGACGGCAGCCATCCTGAAACTGAAAACCGTTTGAAAGCTGTTGTGATAACAGAGCCGGTCCACACGGCCGGGACCGGACCCATTCACCGCAGACATGTGGACCTGCACGGGCTGAGGACACACAGGACCAGAACCAACTCCTTCAAACACCAGAGCTGCGTTTAGGATCATCAATGACAATTACAAGATGATTTTTTCCTAATCTGAACATTCACATTAAATATAAAATTTGTAGTTGCATTTAAATATTTATATACCTTTAATTTACTCAAATAAAAGCTAAACTAACCTTTTCTAACACGTCACTGAAGAAAAAGCTGCGTTCAGCCTGAGCTGTAGTTTTGTCCTTCATGTAGGAGGCAGGTGATCTTTCAGTTTAGTCCAACGAAAGAATAAAAAGTGTGAAGTCGAGGAGGAACAAGAGGAAACTCTCGTTAGCTCTTAAAGTTAGATTTAACTTTTTTAGATTTTTCTACCTGGATTATTGAGCATGCATCAGGATATCTCGTTAGCTCCTTTAGCTAAATGACTCAACATTTATCTCCTGTTGAAACACGTTTTCTTCTGTAAACGCAGGTTTGTAATCCCATGAAACTTTAAATCAACCTAAATCATTACAAACATGTTGATATTTACTTGTAATAAATAAATAAAAGGTTATAAATGTAATGAAGCCTTTGCAAACATCACTCACCGATCAACTGTTCTTCCTTGTTTTGATGCCGTCACGTGACTGCATTTGGAGTGGACAGCCAATCAGAAGAAGGGGGCGGAGCTGAGCAGCTAACGCTAAGTTAGCATACTAGCATTCTTTTACTTTTACTTGAGATTTCCGAACCGAACCTGACGGACGTTCCGGTTTAACCGAACCCGGCGGGTGGTTCGGGTGTTTCACGGCTCGTTAGTCGTCACGTGGAACCGCTTGACAAGATGTTCTGACCCGACCTGCTGCTGAACTTCTTCCCCGCTGCGGACAAGAGCTTTGGGTCGTTTGGTTCCGAAGAGCCGGGGGTCCGGAGAGATGCGGGCCGAACTCTGAGGTCCAGCATGAACGTTCAGTACAAAGAGCCGGACCCGAGCAGCAGCTATGGCGTCGTGGGTTCGTTTCCTAAAAGCTTTGGTTACGGAGCGGAGGAGCCGGACCTGGAGGAGAACTGCTCCTGGACCAGCAGACCCAGGATCCTGCTGATGGGGCTCAGGAGGAGCGGCAAGTCCTCCATCCAGAAGGTCCGGAGGTTCTGCTCCACAGAACTCAGATAAACACCGCTTTCATGCATTAAAACGTCCAGACATCCTGTAGCCAGCCTGACTGTGAGGCACGGTGGAGGTGCTGTCATGGTTGGGGCTTGTTGTTTCAGGACCAGAAGACTTGTGGAGAGGTCAAAGGTCAAGACTTCAGGACTGTGTTGGCTCTAAAGCTTCTGTAACTGAAATTACAGCCACACACAGTAAACTAGTTTATTTTATATATATATATATATATATATATATATATATATATATACTGTTATTTATATTATTTTATTATTTATTTATTTATTTATTTCAATTCAATTCAAAAATACTTTATTAATCCCAGACGGAAATTAAGTGTTGTCATAGCTCATCGTCCTGTTTTCATTCAAGAGTTGTTAGATGCTGACAGCTGTGGGCAGGAGGATCTCATTTATAGGATTTAATAATAATAATAATAATAATAATACATTTTATTTGTAGGCGTCTTTCTTGGCACTCAATGTCGCCTTACATTGTCAATCATAAAAACAGACACAATATTATACACACAGTAAAAACAAGTAAAATATAATTAAAATAAGACAATGCAGTTGCAGTCAGAGTGTAGGCTTCTTTAAACAGATGAGTTCTGAGTTTGACTTTGAAATGTGGCAGTGAGTCTGTTTTACAAATATCAGGTGGGAGTGAGTCTGTTTTACGAATATCGGGTGGGAGTGAGTCTGTTTTACAAATATCAGGTGGCAGTGAGTCTGTTTTACAAATATCAGGTGGGAGTGAGTCTGTTTTACAAATATCGGTGGGAGTGAGTCTGTTTTACGAATATCAGGTG